CCTCTAAAAATCCTTGAACAATTGGAAGAGAAATTGAGAGGAAGTGAAAAGGAGAGTGGCGGTGGAGAAGAAGAATGAAGGGTTTTGCAATGACTTAATTCCTTTTAATACAATTTATGCACAAGCATTCCCATTTTGCCCTTACTCTTCCTTAGGAATTCCATCTATACCCTTTGATTCATTACAAACACATCCCCATATTAACATATTCACCAAGCAAAATCCTTACATTTTACTCCCCACTTTTCCTATTAATTAGGGGTAGAATGGTCAAATTGCCCTTAGGGAAGAAAATATCTAAAACTTAACCAACATTTTGGTCGGCCTGTCGTCGCGGCGAAAAAGCTTCTATCACCGCAGCGAAACTGTCCAGCAGCTTCTCCGGCTTCAACACCTCTTCGCCGCGGCAAAGATTCTTCTTCACCCCGGCGAAGCCTGGAACACTAAACTTCTTCTATTTTCAACCAATTTCAAGGCAAGTATTCAACATACCACTCAAACAAAGGCCAACCAAACAAATAATACTAATAAACCGACTCAAATAAGAACAAAAGGAGAAACATTAGCTACGTACCTCAAGTGGGGCGTTACAGAGAACCTCCTCTCCTCTCCAAGTTCCTCCTTTCCAAGAGCCCCAAGAGTAGATCAAACCCTCAATGTGTATATAAAACCTAAAACTCCTTGAAAAGGGACTAAAGTTACCTTTATAAAGTTTTTAGACAAAATGGCAAACTTGTAAATACTGGTTGCTGAAATTAGGGTTGGAAATGTGACATTATTACATTCTGTGCAATTTAAGCCCCGATGCGGCTTATTGGCATAGCGACTCAATTTAATTGAGCCCTGGTGCAGTTGAATTATGCCCCAGTGTGTTTCCAAGTGATTTCTTCATCGACAAAACCTGTATCACACCGCAGCTCAGGAAATCATGTTGTGGCGCAAAGTCAGAATTTCACTCCTTGTCCTCTCGCCTTGATTTATCTACACTCGAACGAATCCAAGACATTTGAACACCAGTACAACCACGAATAATCCGTTCTTTTGCACCTGAATACCTGAAAACACACACAACACCCGTGATTCCAGAAGATAACGAAACATGCAAGAAATCACATCATAAATCATGCATTAAACCTCAAATTTCTAACAATTTCACCCCAAATCACTAAATAAATCCATATTTCCAACACTCAACAGTGATAAATTAAGAAATTGGAAGCACTTTTGAGGTAGTCATGCTGCGTAAGTCATATTCAAGAAGACATATCTCGAGTTATACGTATTGAATTGATATGATATTGGTCTTGTTTTAAATCTTAAAGAAAGGGCTACAACTTTTCTATATAAGCCTCAACCCAGTTCAATAGGTAAGATGTCCCAAAATGGCTCAGAAGGCCACGGATTTGATAGTGGTAACCATGGTAACATGCCTTTTTTTTTTTTTTTTTTTTAAGGCTTTTCCATTCCTATTTACCTCTAGTTTCTCCCTAACCTTTCCTAACCATTCTCCCCTATGAAAACATGTTAAATGATCAATAATAACCTCCTTTGTGATATGTTAAATTCTCATGACACAACTATTTCCATTAACTACCATCAAACTTCAATTTTCTACAATTCACATATAAATCCATCAATTGCAGATTATAGCATCAAACCAAGTTCAATTTCCTTTGTGTGACAAGAATTAAGGTTCCCTAATACTAAACCTAGAAACCTAATTCTTATTTCATATTAAAGGGAGGTTTCCCTTACCTTGTGTGAAGAAACCACACTCTTTTGAAAATTTTCTCCTCCTTATCTCCGATTGACGCTTTATCCTAATATAATTCATAATGAAACTTTAATAACTTGAAGTATATAGTAGTCATATAAGAGAAGGAGTTGAAATTTACCCCCTAATATCCTTAATAAAGGAAGATATATAAGACACTTGAAAGATTGCAACTAAAAAGCTTGAAATTTCAATGGAGGAAATAGAATTAATGGAGAAGTATTGAAGAAGATGATGGAATATTGGAGAAATATATGTGTTGGTCGATTTTTAACCAAGTAAATCAAAGATTTTTTTTTTTTTTTTTTAAAAACAAAAATCTCAATATTTATCACTATCATTTAATGACTTAAAACATCATTTCCCTTTTTGCCCTTAACAATTTTCTTTTAATTACTCTGCAATCCTTCATCATCTTTATCTTGTCAAGCCAACAAAATATCATCATTCTTTTACCACTTTACCCCTAAGGCATGTGCATAGTAGTTAACTTAGTGCATAAAAGTGAAAAGACTACTTTACCCTTGGACATACCAGTGGGGTTTACAAATGAGCAATACGAACCTATGATTGATAATTGAGAAAGAAAACAGGCTAGATGGATCCAATTTCTCAGACTGGTATCGAAATTTTCGGATTATACTAAAGTCCAAAAAGAAATTGTATACCCTTGATAAGCCTTATCTGGCTGAGCCTATGTAATATTCTTTCTCCGTTACTCAGATCCTGGATTTTCTTTTCTTACACCAAACTTCTCAATTCTTCTCTGCTCTTTCTAATATTCTAATTTCTCACTTACTGATATGTAAGCACAAATAGGGAAACTAACTCAAGATAGTAGAAATGGCATGATGCATATGCACAAATGCATAAACTTTTTCTATGCAATGCATTTTCTTTTCTGTTTTCTTTCTTTCTCTGCATTTCTTTGTTTTTCTATTTCTCTTCTTTCTTTTCTGTTTATATTCTTTCTTTTCTATTTTTCTTGCTTTTCTATTCTTTCTTGCTTTTCTTTTCTTTCTTTCTTTTCTATTCTTTTCTTTTCTTTTCTTTTCGGTTTTTCTTGTTTTTCTATTCTTTCTTGCTTTTCTATTTTTTCTTTCTATTCTTTTCTTTTCTTTTCTTTTCTTTTCTTTTCTATTCTTTTCTTTTCTTTCGTTTCTTTCTTCTCTTTGCCGATCGGACTCGGTTGAGGCATGGATTTGGAACCCTGACCGTGTGAGTGTATTCTCAAATTCTTTCTTGGGTATAGTCCTCATCCACATGCACTTCTTACGAACTGTACAAATTCTTCTTTCTTATTCTTAGGCCGCTCACTAAAGGCGGCGTTCATGCGGGGCTATTCTTCTTCTCTATCACTCACGGGTTCCCCATCACAACAACCTTCTCTTATCTTATCTTTTTATATTTCTTTAAGTAAAATTTCAGTTTTGAAGTATTCTTTAATTATATTCTTTAGATAATAATTCTACAATTAATTTCTTTTCTTTCTTTCTCTTTATTCTTTAATGTTTTTATACATGTATATGTGCATGTAAATAAGCTCATTCTTTGCTATTCTTTCTAAATGCAAATGCTCAAATGTAAGAATGTATTATGGCATATAAAGATATCATTATGGAACTAGTATTCTCTACCAACAACATTTCCATAACAAAGTAATAATCCAACATACTCATATATATGCACTTTCTTTGACATTTCATCAAACACCTTATATGCACATACAAACCCTAAATTGGTTACACTTCCACATATTTCTCAAGCCACCAAAATTGGAGCAAATAACTCTCTAAAGCCAACATCCAACCTAGCCAAAAATTCAACTCCACTACTCAACATTCATTCTCCCATAATTCGTCCAAAACTTCATCAACTCAACACATACAAATCATCACTTCTCATAACCATGAGATTCACATATCAAACATCTGAATTTCAATCCATAACTCTCATCATCCAAACACACATACAACATATAAGAAATTTCTCTACATAAGTATTTATCCAATCAAAGCTAAAGTTGGATTTACTTACCTTGAATTTGAGCAATTCCAACACTATAATCTCTCTTTGGTAGAATTCCCCTTCCTCTTAAACCCTAAGCATATAAAACCATAAGAATTCAAAACTTTAAAATTTAATCTCACATCTTGGTGTAAGAATCTTACCTTTGGATGCTTAGGATTGAAAATCTATCAAAATCTAGCCAAAATCCTATGAATTTCCTTGAAAATTTACTAAAGAAATTTGAGAGAATTTGGGGTGAAGGTGGCATGAACTATGGGTGGAGTGGCTAGGGTTTCTCTTCTTGAACTCTTATTACTACATAATAATATATAGTTTCCCATTTTACCCTTGCACTTTCTAAAAATTGCATCTATGTCCCTTAGTCAATTACCATAATACCCTCATTTTTATTATCTTCTCTATGTTATTCTATTTCTTTTCACTCCCCACTTATTCAACTAATTATGAGTGAAAAGACCATTTACCCCTAATGAAGTTTTAAGGAATTTTCTTCACACTTGTTCAAGATAACTTTAACAAAATTCAACTATGGGTATTAGGGCATAAATAAAGCTACGTACCTCGATGTGGGTGTTACAGCCTAAACTTGATGCCACTTAGAAAACTAAGGAGACTTATCAAAAGTTCCTTGATGATGCTGATAATGTTCAATGCATTATGCTAACATCAATGACATCTGAGCTGTAAGAGTAGCATGAGAATATGGATGCACATGCCATAATTATGTACCTCAATAAGCTTTTTCAAAGTAATGCTAGACATGAGAGATATGAGGTGTCAAAAGCACTGCTTAGGAGCTGAGTGACTGAGGGAGCCCAAGTTGGTCCTCATGTGCTCAAGATGATTGCGTACACAGAAAGGCTTGAGACTTTTGGCTTGTTGTGGATGTAGACTTACAAGTGGATATAATTATGTAGTCACTACTTGATTCTTATTCACCGTTCATAATGAACTTCAATATGAACACAATGGTGAAGTCCTTGTCAGAGCTTCTAAATATGCTGAGGACTGCAGAGCAGGACTTGAAAAAGTCCAAACTTGTTTTATTGGTTGCTGTTGGAAAAGCCAATGGTAAGGGTAAGGGTAAGGGTAAGGGTAAGGGAAAGGGAAAGGCCAAGGTCTATCCCAAGTCCAAAATCAAAGGATATGATGCTCTTAAGCCTATAGATGGCATTGGAAAAAGGTAAAAGATAGTCTGCTTCTATTGTGGCAAGCTTGGCCACTAGAAGAAGCACTACAAGGCTTTTTTCACAAACAAGAAGAAGTCAAATGCTTCAACTTCAAGTATGTACATGATTGAGATTAACTTCTCCCCTTCAACATCTTGCGTCATTGACACAGGATGTGGTACTCACATTTGTACTGATGTGCAGGGATTAAGGCAGAGTAGATTGCTCGCCAAGGGAGAGTTGGATCTATAAGTTGGAAATGAAGCACACATGGCTACATTAGCTGTAGGATATTATTGTTTGTCACTACTTACGGGCTTATTGTTAGAACTTAATAATTTTTATTCTTTACCTTCCATTTCAAAAAACATTATATCAGTATCCGCTTTGGATGATATGGGATATTATTTTGAAATTTCTAATAGATTGTTGTCCTTTAGTTTGAATGGTATTCTATATGGATATGCAAGGTTATATAACGAATTATATGTTCTAGATTCAAACAATAAAGATATTTTCAATGTGGAACCAAAGAAAGCTAAACATAGCAATCAAACCCAAACATACCTCTGGCATTGTAGATTGGGTCATTTTAATTAAACCCGCATTGCAAAACTTCAAAGGGATGCAGTTTTGGACCCCTTTGACTTTCAATCATTTGAGGTATGCAAGTCATGCCTTTTAGGCAAGATGACCAAGTCGCCTTTCATAGGACAAAGTGAACGGGCTACTGAATTGTTAGGCATCATTTATAGCGATGTATGTGGTCCACTAACAATTAAAGCCAGAGGTGGATATTCGTATTTCATCACATTTACTAACAACCTTAGTAGATATGGTTATGTCTACCTTATGAGATATAAATCTAAAGCCTTTGATAAATACAAAGAATTCAGAAGAAGTACAAAATATATTGGGCAAGAGTATTAAAGCTCTTTGGTTAGATCGAATAGGTGAATACTTAAGCTCTGGGTTTTCTGAATACCTGAAGGCGTGTGGGATAGTTTCATAACTCACCCCTCCATATACACCCCAACATAATGGTGTGTCTAAAAGGAGGAATAAGACCTTACTTGATATGGTTAGGTCCATGATGTGTTTTAGTGATCTACCCGCATCATTCTAGGGTTATGCCCTAGAGACTACGACTCACATACTTAACCGTGTATCATCAAAATCTATGGATAAGACTTCATATGAACTATGGAGTGGGCAAAAGCCCAATTTTTCTTATCTAAAGATTTGGGGTTACAAAACTTATGTCAAGAAATTGACTTCGAACAAGCTAGGCCCGAAATCTAATAAATGTATATTTGTAGGGTATCCTAAGGAGACCAAAGGATATTATTTCTACCACCCAGAAGAGCGCAAAGTTTTTGTCGCTCGTACTGATGTCTTATTAGAGAAGGCATTTCTTCTAAGAGGTACTAGTGGGAGAAAGTAGAAATGGATGCAGTTCTAGTACACAAGATACATTAGACGAAGGACAGGATGATGGGCCACAAGAAGTGGTCGAACATCATGAGGAGGTTACTCCACAATCTATGAATCAAAGTGAACCACCTCAAGTAGCACAAGAGCTACGTAGGTCTAGAAGAGCACGCCATGACCTCGAGAGATATGGTTTTCTCATGACTTGGTATGGTGACATACTGGTCTACCAAGACAATGAACCCAAGACCTACGATGATGCTATATCGGATCCAGATTTCGTTATGGCTTGAAGCCATGAAATCTAAGATGGACTCCATGTACCATAACCAAGTATTGTCCTTGGTGGATCCACCTAAAGTGGTAAAACCCATAGGGTGTAAATGGGTTTTCAAGAAGAAGACTGATATGGATGGCAAGGTGCATACCTATAAGGCACGACTGGTTGCCAAAGGTTTCAAACAAATTCATAGCATTGACTATGAAGAAACCTTTTCACTAGTTGCCATGATTAAGTCTATCTAGATTATGCTTGCAATTGTTGCATGTTAAGACTATGAGATTTGGCAGATGGATGTCAAAATAGCTTTCCTGAATGAAAACCTTGAGAAGGATATGTATATGACACAACTCGATGGCTTCGTTCTTGATAGACAAGCTGATAGGATATGCAAGTTACGGAGGTCCATTTATAGACTCAAGCAAGCTTCAAGGAATTTGTTAACATTCATTTTGATGAAGCTATAAAAAAATTCGGTTTCATAAAAAATGAAGATAAGCCCTGGGTTTACAAGAAAGTAAGTGGGAGCGTAGTGGAAATCTTGGTGTTGTATGTTGATGACATACTTCTCATCTGGAATGATATACCAAACTTGCAGTCAATAAAGACTTGGTTATCCAAGTGCTTCTCCATGAAGGACTTAGGAGAAGTAGCATACATCCTCGAAATAAAGATCTAGCGTGATAGATCATGTAGGTTGCTTGGCCTAAGTCAGAGTACATATATAGACAAGGTACTAAAGAGATTTAGTATGGAAGAATCCAAGAAGGGATTTCTTCCAATATCACATGGTGTCTATCTCTCCGAGGATATGTCTCCCAAAACACACGATGAGAGAGATAGAATGAAGAGGATCCCATATGTGTCTGCAAATGGATCCATCATGTATGCCATGTTATGTATTCAGATTGATGTCTCATGTGCATAAAGCACTTGTAGTAGATATAAATCAGATCTAGATGAGTGACACCAAATCCAGGTGAGTGACACTAGATAGCTATCAAGAACATCCCTAAGTACCTGAAAAAGACTATAATGTCTCACTAGGCAAGTATTCACTGAGTATCCTATAGAGAGAATCCAGAGAATTGCTAGTTTAAAAAGGGTGTTCGTCTAAAATTTTTATCCTTAATCCAGTTATAACATACTATTACACAAAGATTATTTCTCACATATATAAATCCACATTAAATTTCTTCACTGAGACAGTGTGTGCAATCCTCTCGCCAACTTGACATCTCCCAACCACTACAATCTAATACTTGCAAAAATAAGGAAGGCAACGGGGTGAGCTATAAATGCTTAGTAAGTAAACCAAATCTAATTATGCTCTTACTCTGTTGTCCCCGTTTTCATTGTACTGCTTCTAAATTTCTACTTGCTTTCTCTCTTTATTCTCAGGCATACTACTTAGCAGTCTTCTATTTTTCTCAAATATTTCTAAATCCTTCTAGGGTTGTGCTATTCTTTATCATTTTGTTTCTCTTCTCTGCTAGATTATAACTTTCTGTTTCTTTCTCTACTCAACAAATCACTAAGTTTTCTTGCTATTTGTCATGTTTCTAATTTCTGCTCTTTTCTAGCATGTATCTAATTTATGTTCTTTTCTTGTATATCTCTAGTTTCTTTTCTATTCTCATGGGTTTCTATGTTCTTTTCTTCTCTATTCCCATGGGTTTCTATTTTCTTTTCTTCTCTATTCCCATGGGCTTCTATTTTCTTTTCTTGGCTAGTCAGACACGCAATAATAAACAAACTGTTTAATCTATGCATAAATGCATAAGATGCAATGCACATAAAATGTCTGATGCATATGCAAATGATCATGTTTGTATTCTTTCTGAAAATTCTTTTCTTTTCTTTCTTAAATTCTTTATGTTCTCTATTTCTTATTCTATTTTTCTTTCTTTCTGAAATTCTTTTTGTTTTCTGTTTCTTATTCTATTTTTCTTTCTTTTTGAAACTCTTTCTGTTTTCTGTTTTCTGTTCTGGTTTGCCGATCGGACTAGGCTGAGGCATGGATTTGGAACCCTGGCCATGTGAGTATATTCTGAAATTCTTTCTGGGTATAGTCCTCATCCACATGCACTTCTAGCGGACTGTAAAATTTTGTTTTCTATTCTGAGGCTGCTCACTGATGGTGGCGTGCATGTGGGAAACTTTTGCATCTCTGTCGCCACTAGCTAACGTAGCAAATGCTCACAGGTTCCCCATCGCAACAGCCCTTTGAAAACATGCTCCGTAAATCTGCAAAAAAAAAAAAACTAGCTAGACATTTCAAATAATTATAAAGTTTCTTAAATATATGCTATGCTATGTCATGCATTTATATGCTGTCTATGCATGATCCCAAAATATGTGTCTGACTCTGGCATGTACTCTATTAATTCTAAGGCTTTTATTTATATACTTTTCTGGAACACCGAAAGTTCTATTCTAATAACACACTTAACTTAAACATTTTCAATTTTATTCTTTATTTCTTAATTCCATGCATCGTGTGTACGTATGCATTCTATAATTTCTACATAATTTTGTATTCTTCAATTCTATCATGCTATGTAAAATGTACACACTCTCACAAATTCTAGTCTTCTATAATTCTATTAGTGAGATATTAAAATGGCACAAATCAACTTTGGAATGAATTCTACATTTTGGGCAATCTAATTTCTTCTATAAAAATCTATGCCACAACTTAGGTATTAAGTCTACTAACTTGCCCCATTATGCTACTAGTTTTTCTCAAACTCATATGTCACATGACCATGTCATTAAACAACTCTCTAATATTTTTCTAATGTAACAAACATGTCTTGTACAACTTTTTAAATAAAAATCTTAATGCCATAAATTTTCATTCTCTTACATGACCATCAACTTCAATTGTTATATATGCCCTTCTTTCTTCTTTTCTTTTGGCTACATTTTGTACATTAATCTATATTGTCATATTAATCATTGTAAATTCAATCTAACATATGGCACAACATATATACTTTGGCTAAATTCTAATTTCTTTCTAACATTCTTAACTAAACTTTTGGCCAATACAACCAATTCTCAAGAACTTCTAGCACAATTCTATAGTTTGTAATATATAATCAAGCATGAAAACTATACTCATACCAATCAATTTCTAAAATGGTCATGTATTTAATACATAAACCAAACTTCTATTTCTTTGATGTTTCTTTTGATATCTATACTTAGGAAAGTTTTTCTATTCTTTCTATAATAAAATAACTTATTACATATTGTTTGTAATTAATCTCAAAACAAGAAACAACAATATACTCATTTGACCATGCCATTATTTGGATAATCTTTCTAAATTCAAGTACACAAACTTAAGAATTTATTATGGCATATTGATATGTCANTCGGCGGAGATTGTCTGTTGCTCCAGCATCAATCCCTGCAGCTTCAGCGTTACAACTGATGAGCTTGGGTCTGAGAGAAAACTTAGGCAAAGGCAAGCTACTTGGAGGTGGAGATATAGTAAACCCAAAACCTGAAAACTTCTCAAACTCAAAACCACTAACAGCATCAATACCTGCAGATAAAATCTTAGATACATTCTTAGGAAGATCATTTGGGTCTGGTCCTAAAGGGTCGACCGATGTGAAGATCAAAGACTCTGCTATTGGTTTTTTAGCAGGTTTTAAAAAATCTGTCTTTGGCTCTTGCTCTGGTCTCTTGGTGGTGGGTTGTTTTGCTTTCTTAGGGGTCAGAGATTGGTCTCTTGTCCTGTTGAACTTTTTATTAGTGGGAGGACAAGAGAGATTCCGGCTCAGAGATGGGAGAGAGGTGTGAAGGGTTTTATTGTTGGGGATTCGTAGAGGAAGGAGAGGTGGAGGCTGTTGATGCTGATAGTTATGAAGTGAATGGGAAGGAGGATACGAATATGAGAGAAGAGGAGGAGCTAACAAAAGACCTCTGTGCATGAATTTTGAAAAGAGGGAGAAGAAAAGGAAAAAAGAGAAGGGGGAGGAGGGAAAAAGACGGAGAAGAAAGGAAAGAAAGAGAAGGGAGAGATGAAGGGGAAGGATAAGAGAGAGAAGAGGCGTAGAAGAGATGAGATGCAAAAGAGAAGAGAATAAGGAAATAGGATAAAAAGTTAGGGGTTTATGGATTAATATAAAATTAATGATGAATATTAAAATTTATTTTTTGGTTGGATATAAAATTATTATATTATCCTTAGTTAAATGGATTTCAATAATATTATACTTATAAAGAAATCTTATAAAGATTTCTATATAAAGTGAGGTAGCAACAAATGAATGAAAGAGTAAAACTTATTAAATTCATTCTTTTATTCATTTTTTGTTATATCACTTTGTATGAAGATCTTTATAAATTTTTTTTTTGTAAATATAGTATTACTCTACAGATTTTACTAACAAAGTGGGTAATTATCATTTTCAAATTTTTTTGGTACCAAATTATTATTATGATACTAAATTATCATTATGACAAGGGCGAACGACTTGTACATACCCAAAGTTTACTGTAATGATAAGTTGATATCCAAAAGGTTTTGAAACGACAAATAGGTACCTTCCGTCATATTCTGTTAGTGATTTTTGTTTATTAATAGTGAAAAGACTAAAATGCCCTTCAAAGTTTCAATTTTTGTTTTTTATAAATTTAAAAATTTCTAAAAACCCCCTAGGTTTGCTAATTTAATTAAACACCCCCATATATAAAAAGTTTGTTAAATGACAAAAACACCCCCACCACCCCAATGCCAGATTCCGGCCACCATCGCCGGAATCTGGCCGGAAAACTGCATTACGACACAGATCCCCATCGGATCTGTGTCGTAAAGTTCCGATGTGGCCTTTTCAGGCCAGATCCGCCACGGATCTGGCCGGAAAAGGCCAGATCTGGCCGTCGAAGCAGCAGCCAGATCTGGCCTTTTCCGGCCAGATCCGTGGCTGATCTGGCCGGAAAAGGCCAGATCTACTGCCAGATCTGGCCTTCGACGCCGCAGATGGAGTTTTGCGGCGTCGACGGCCAGATCTAGCCGTAGATCTGGCCTTTTCCGGCCAGATCAGCCACGGATCTGGCCGGAAAAGGCCAGATCGACGCGTTACGACACAGATCCGACGGGTCTGTGTCGTAACGCAACTTTCCGGCCAGATTCCGGCGGTGGTGGCCGGAATCTGGCACTTGCCGGTGGGGGGTGTTTTTGTTATTTTATAAAACTTTTATATATTGGGGTATTTAGTGAAATTTGTAAACTTAGGGGGTTTTTTGAAATTTTTAAATTTATAAAAAAACTAAAATTCAAACTTTTAAGGGTATTTTAGTCTTTTCACTATTAATAAACAGTAATAAACAGAAATCACTAACAGAATATGACGGAAGGTACCTATTTGTCGTTTCAAAACCTTTTGGGTATCAACTTGTCGTTACGATAAATCTTGGGTATGTATAAGTCGTTCTCCCTTATGACAAACTATGGGTTGACGCATGTGGTTCTGCCTATAATTAAAAAGAAAAAAGCAGACCAGGCTAATAATTAAGGTCCCACTAATAAAATACTATATATAAGCGTATACAATTTTATTTGATTCCTCTTTAAGGAAATTAATTTCTTTTACTTATGCTTTGCTTAAACTGCATTACAAAGCATCATTAACAGGATAACCCTTCTTAACTTCTGATTACGCATTGACGTTATTAACTTTGCTTTTCCTCTATAAGTAAGTTATGTTGATGAAATTGAAAAAATAAAAAGTTTTTTTTCATGAAAAAGGATAATTTTTTAATCTTTTTGAAGAATTATTTGGTCAATTTTAAGAAAATGAATTTGAATAGGAATAGTACTTTGTATATCATATCACATTTATATTAAACTACTGAATTTACATAGATATAAAGGGTGTGTTCTTTTATTATTTTTTTTTGTATTTATTTTGTTTTTTTTTTTAATATTGAAAATGATTTAAAAACGTAAAAATACAAATTGATTTGTTTGAATGAATTTAAACAATTAGAATAGATGATATGTTAAACATGTATAGTTGTAAAATTAGTATGTAAGGAATAGTTTGTATAATTAGTTCATACATGTGACATTACTCTTAGAACCTACTTTTTAACTAAAAAGCCTCCACTGTAAAATTGTAACTTTACAATTTATATTCATCCTATAAAAACTAAACTGATTTAAATTAAAAAGCTATTCTTTGGTATAATTTGTTTTCGTACACTTCTACAAAACAAACATATTCTCTATCACAAAAATATTTATTTATTTATTAATTTTGATAAAGAAATGCAAATATCTTTAGAGGCAAGATAGCCGAAATTTTTGTAAATCACATCATATAAATTATGAATAGTACTACACAAATTAATTATTTGATAATTCATGAAAATTAGAAGGAAGGAACAACAGATGTTTTGACGGAGTTTGAGAACTATTTTACCAGGTTGAATAGGAGGAGCATAGCAAAGACAGGATTGGGGATGACGGTAGCAATTTGTAATTGATAAAACAAAAGGGGAGATTTGTTTTATAAAACAATGAAGTGCTAAATGTCCCCCATACTGATTTACAGATGGCAATTATACCAGGATTTTCGGGTACCCGGCTCAGCTAGCCTGTACGGGCTAGGCATTACCCATCACCGCAAAATACCTGCTATTTGCGGGGATGGGCACGTGCCTGGGTATGGTTTTAGGGCCAACCTTCGAGTATGGGTCGGGCTCAGAACAACCACTACTAGGCTTGGCTCGACCCAAGTTTTTATCATTTTAAAAAAATAAAAATTTTATTTAATTTAATTATAATTTTGAAATAAATTTATGATAACAATCAATTGCGATTTTAGTCAAACCCAAGATCCCTTGTTCACTATATTAATCTATACACACAAAAAATATGGTGATTAAAGCAAGAGATACTATTAATTAAGTTAATATGAATGACAAAGAAAAATATATCAAAGATTGCCCATGAGAAAATAGATTATAGAAATAAAATAGGTCGGGATTGGGAGTCATAAAAGCCCATTGGGCCAAGCCTGGGCATTACTTGACATCCTCACAACGGGCCTGGGTTGAGCTTGGGCCAAGGTCATGGTGTCGGGCCTGGGCCTAGGCCAAGGGGTACCCTTTCTCGGCCTGGACCATTGCCATCTCTATACTGATTAAATGTTGTTTGCCTTTTTACAAATTTAACCCTACTTGAAAAGGATGTGGGGGTTGTTTAGTTAATACATAGTGTGCTAACAGCACCACTGGGAAATGCCCATGACAAAGCCCAGATTTGAGCATGGACAGATGAGTAAGCTTTGTTTTTCACTGAGTAAGAGTTCAAGAAATTTTCCTTCCTTTAAATAATAATTTTTCTCAATTAGTATTTGAAATAATAATTCACCCACTATTATTATTGTTTTGTTTGAATTTCCTCATCTGACTAATTCATTCATAATTAATTAGTTGATCAGGCATGCAATGGAAATCACTTTAACTCTTAACAAAATCGAACAATTATATTACACAAATAAAAGTAGACTAATAATTCTAAATGCTCTCTTAATTATATTCATGTTTCAAACACAGTGGAACCTTAACAAGAACTTGGTTTTTTAGGTATAAGTTTTGGACTATTGTGGCTCATTTTTCTAAAATTTTCTGTGTGAAATTGCATCTCTTTAGAAAAGTTAAATTAAAAAGTGTTGATTAAACAGATTATCCAATTTAGAAAATCTAAGTCCTAAATTAACCAAAACATTCACAGCAAGATAGAGATATAAAGAAAATAAGAGCATAAACAATAAAGAGCATACACACAGATTTATTGTGGTTCGGTAATTAGATTGATTACCTACATCCACTCTTCAGGGCAATGGAAAAACATACACTATGAAGAGAAACCTTACAGAGTTTGTGAGTCAGTTTTACACCAAGAACCCAGTGACAACTCCCCTCTATAAATCACCCTAGATTGCTCCCATGTGTCTCACACCTCTCACACACAAAAATACATAGAATTAATCAGAATTTATACAAGAGGAAAAAGGAATAAAATCAGTTACAAAGAAAACTCATCACCATCGTTGATCTCATCCTACGAATACCAAGGCTCCACCTTGATTATTCCTTCAACAACTTTCTCTCTTTGTAACAAGAAGAGAACAATCCAGAGAGCAAAATGAAAGTGACGAGATAAGGCACAACAAATATCCCAAAAAGAAATTACAAAACTGTCCCTTTCTTTCTTCTAAATTGCCTCTGACCAAAGTTTAAAAACTTTGACTCCACATAAGCATAAATCAATGCCACATCAGCACAAATCTCCACCTTAGCATCCGATTTGTTCATCCCCTACTACCCTGGAAATTTCCTTCATTCTTACTCAATCTGGAGCAGGCTCTTGAAGAGCCTTAGTTTATCCAAAGTAACAACTTTGGTAAACATATCTGCTGGATTCTCTTTCCCAAGAATTTTCCCCACCTTAATAATCTTTTCTTCAATCATATCTATGATGAAGTGCAGCCTCACACCAATGTGTTTGGACCTTTCATGAAAGGTTTGGTTTTTGCATAAGAATATAGCACTTTGGCTATCACTCTTGATTGGAACTTGAGCCTGATTAAATCCCAGCTCACTAAGCATTCCCTTGAGCCAAATTACTTCCTTGACAGCTTTTGTAATTGCCACATACTCAGCTTCTGTAGTTGATAGAGTCACAATAGCCTGCAAATTAGCTTTCCAACAAACCAGATTATTCCATAAAGAGAAAACAAAGCCTGTCATGGATTTCCTATTATCAAGATTTCCAGCATAATCAGCATCTACACACCCCACAATGAAATCCATCATGTTTTTCTCTTTACTATACACAATTCCTGTTGACATTGTTCCCCTAATATATCTTAGGATCCATTTCACTGCTTCCCAATGAGGTTTTCCAGGATTACTCATGAATCTACTAACATAGCTTACTGCAAAGGCTAA